CCTTCACAGGAGCTATGGGCACCTGTTCAACGGATGCTCTTGGTGTCGTTACGGGCATTCCTCCTTTGTCTATTCTGTTTTAAAAAGAGGCCTGCTGAAGCACCCCACGAATGTCCAATGTGATCAGCAAGAAAATTAGAGATCTTCGGCGACATTTGGAGGTTCTAAAGCCATTCCTCGATAATCCCGAGTTCTCCTTCTACAAACCCTACAAGGTCAGAATTTCTGAAAGGGACTGCTGTGATGTGATAATAACTACGATTTAAGAAGGGTCCCAAGTATGGTATACCGACGGAAAAGGATGGACGACAAAAGTACTGGGGCAGGCGTATTTGAACCAACATTCCAGAAAGTCTGCCAATTTCCATATACCCAACTATATTCCAGGCGAAAGTCTTCGCAATCGGAGTCTGTGTAGGACAAATGGGGTCAAAATAAATATTATGTCGGATAGTCAGGCAGGTTAAAAACTTTAGACTCTTCTAAAACGGCAGCGGGCTTGTTGAAGACTGAAAAACTCTTTTGAACCGCTTATAAGCCCACATAAAGTAACGCTCTGGTGGGTTCCGGGACATGAAGAGTTTGAAGGCGACGAAAGCTGACTGTCTCGCAAAGTGTGGAGCCGGAAAGCACTTGCATGGTCTCTAGCCTTTTGTGAGCTGGTGGAGGAAACCCCAGAGCATTTTCTATGTGACTGCCCACGTATCATAAATAGCAGATTGATACACCTTGGGGAACGATCGTCTTCTTCATCCAAAATTTGAAACATGGCGCCCTCCAAAGTGCTTAACTCCCTAAAGAGCCTAAGGTCGGAGTGATTACAATTACGGTTAAGCACAATAGATCTTCTTACGGCGCGTTTACATTAGACAATGCTGTCAAGACAATAAAGAAATACGTATTAGTTGTCAAAAATGCTGATAATTATCTCCGTGGCGTAGGTGTCCTGACAATAGTTATGACAATTCATTTTGAGCAAAATGTCGAATTTCGAATTATTGAAGTTTCAAGCATTTCTGAAATTTACCGTTATATGAAAAGCGGCCTCAATTTTAGTCCGATTTCAACGGTTTGCTTTTCTGTGGCAAGCAAAATAACAATATCGAGTTTGGTACAAATTGGTAGAACGGTTACCGAGATACATATATGTGATCATAAGTGGGCGGTGCCCCGCCCATTTTCCAAAACTGTTCCATAAACGTATTTCTTGGTAAAAAATTGTTGCAAGCATCAATTTTGAATAAATTAGCCTTAATATTTACTGATTTATCGAAGATTTCGTATTTCTCCAAATTACCGTTATATTCGATGAGGGCGTGGTTATTGTCCGATTAAAAAAATTGTCAGCCATTTGGTATGCTGTAGCGAACAAAAGGAGCTGAACACCTTTTGCCGCACTTCGCACCTTCGGCCGCACTTAGGGATTATAACCCTCACAAAATAGAATTCTCTTTCTGTTTTGCGAAGAAAAGGAGCTGAACACCTTTTGCAGAGAACACCTTTGTATATTTTTAATGCTTACTGGGTTATATCCTATCTTCTTTTGTCTCTCATTCTTTTGCATATTTTGGAGTTTCACAGCTCAACTCCGCCATTTAATTTGCATATGCAACCAAAGTCAGACCACCTACCTCGTCTGCAACCACACAAACAAAATTGATTCATGCCTTATATAGGAGGAGAGTGTAGGCGAAAGATAGAAGGAAAGATAGAAGAAAAGGTCCAGGAGCAGCCATGGACCTTGCCACCACTCCAACTACTCCGCAAGGCCCCCTAAACCTGACACTCGTACGTAGGTCTAAGGTCCGTCCGGTCACATGTCAATATCGTTAATACGTCAACACAACCCTGTCCCTCAGTTGCGCCCGTGCAACACCGCACACCAACAGACTGAGTCTAATTATTCATATTTATGTGTGAATCAGATAAATCCAATCTATCAAACCATCGTATGAATCTTCTTCTCTATAACGACAACATATGCAGTTCATTTATCCGATTATATTTTTCTCTTGCATTCATAATAAGAAGAGTATATGTATGCACATACGTATTTAAAAATTATTCCAACTATTCCTCTTTGTTCCTATTTTTGCTAGTAAGGTGCTGAATCTGACTATGCTCTCCCTCGCTTCGAATGTTAAAACATTGGTTCCATGTTTATATGTAGATAACTTACACTCTACCACTTACCGATCTCTCTTCCGATGAGCTGAAATGCCATGTCACTAGCATACATACACATATAATCATAACTTCCAATGCTCACACATTGGAGCCCGGAGCTGAGCTAGCTGTCAGCTTGGCCTCACATATGGAATTCATTTCCTAGAAACCTATCATCGAGTGCGCCCTGGCTGGGCTTCAATTAGCAGCGAAAAATAATTTGAATATCGTATCGTCGTGTACATGTTTATTTATAAACGTATGTGTTCCTTTTCTTTCGTACGTGTTTATTGATATATCTGTACTGTAGTGTTTTCGGACGTTACTAGCTCTTACTGCCAATATAGAAGTATTACATATATGTATCAACGTAAAAAAACATTCCGAGGGTAAAAATTAAATTAATCTCAATTCATACAAAAAAAATCAATAACAAAATTAAAAGATTTGAGGTTATGGCTGCCTCGTGGGTGTACCCCTCTGCTCCCAGGTACCCAAATTCTAGTGAGCGCACTGGAACTGATGTTGCACTCAGCGGAGCGCTATGATAGAGCGGTGGAAAAATATTCCCGCAACGTCTGGCGCTCTGGTTCATAGATGTATGCGTTTCAGTAAACGCCTCCCTTTTTTCCTCTCAGTCCGCTGAATCTGATCCCTTTTTATTTTTCTTGTGCAAATAGTTTAAATCCCATGCCGTTCCAGGTTGTTGACCCGTTCTTATGTATAATTTTTGTACATAAGTAGAGGCTTATGTTCACCGTATAAGGCGCTGGGCGTTTGGTTTAGATAGAGGCCCCTCTCACACTCCTGCCTGGCGAAGACCTCTACTTAGGCAGGATTTCGCAGTTATTTGTAAAAAAAACGCAGTTTTAATCCATTTTAACGGGTTGAAACTTTCACACAATAGCTACCGGGACTTTGTGCTAAATTTCTCGGTTTTTCTAACAAAACTTTTCCGCCTTTGAACTTTCCGTCGCCGATGTATTTTTCGATGTGATCAAAGCCAATCTTCGCTTGGTGATCGTACCCTACCGCTTTGACCGCCTTTTGAAATTTCCTTTCACGACGCCACTTTCACCCAACACGATTGACGGCCACACACACACGCATCCTTTCACCCTCCAACTTTCACTCCACTTATACCCGTACAAACATAGATTCACATTGAGACGAACATTTATAGCTTTAACATACAATACATACGCAAGTGTATATCTGTTGTTACCCTGTGGGGAAAATCTCTAGTTCTGAACTGGGGCGCTTCTAGTACATTTAGACCCAGTACTGGTTCGCGATAAATCTCTTTTGCATGCAAGCAACTGGCGAATTTAACATGGCGATGTCCTAGGAAGTGTCAATTGCCCCCCGCTAGTCCTAAATTCAATAGTTCCGAACCAGTTCTAAAATCGACAGACGAAAGAAAAAGGTATCATGACTTTTCAATCTTTTCGGTTCTTCCGTGGCGATTTTACATTATTTTCAAAGAAACTTTTTTTTCAAATTTGAAATTAAATTTGAATGATTGTAAGAAATGTACGTTTACATACCTTTGGCTGTAGCTGACTTTGCAAAGGTGCTCGCTGTTATTGGTTAGATTCCAGACGGCCCCAAGAAGTTAATATGTTAACACAAAGCTTTGTTTTGTATTACCAAACTATGAAATAGCATCTGCGAAGCACAGAATAGAAGCGTATTTGAAGGAAAAAGCCTCCGAACGCATATCTATGTAAAGTAAACAAGCCCCCCGCTGCATCCCTTATTCGATAGTTCCGAAATAGTTCTAAATTCGACAAATAGGACTAGTTCGCTCTGCATCCCTTTTTCTATAGTTCCGAACCATTTCTAAATTCGTCGCTTTAGATATAGATTTCTAATGAAAAAAACTGAAAAAATTAGTTTCTTAAAAGTACCACTTTTCGCCGATTTTGGACTGGTAGGGATCTAGTTCCTATCGGACTAGTTCCTTTTTGGGGATAAAGACCTAGTACTGGCTAGAAATTTGATTCACTAGTCCGCGGTTTCCCTGCAGGGATACCAACCCACACACATATACATTGCTATACAAGACTTGTTGGATGTTGCTAGGGACCTGGTAATGTGTTGCGATAATGTTGCTTGGATGTTGCATGGGCGCTACTGACATCCTGACAGACTGACGCTGCAACCCCTTTGGACGGAATAGCCCGAAATAGTTGGGGGCGCTACTAAACCCCACCCCGTTTATCTATTTCATATTTTATTAATTTCATTAACGATGAGGAAGACGTTTATAAATTTGTTTACTTTTCTTTAGAGAACCCAACCAGTATGAAAGTGCAAGTATGGACAATTACCGAAACGAAGATGGCCGCATGTGCGATTAAGTGATGATAAGTTCTATTTTATTATGAGTTTAATAATAATTATTATAGTATTTTTTAGTAAATTATAATAATTATTTATTGGATGATTTAAATAAACATCATAATTTCAGTATAGTGGCTTTTATTATTGAGTATTTTTATACCCGAACGCACTGTTCTACCAATTTACACCAAACTCGGAATCGTTATTGTGCTTGCCATATAAAAGCAAAACTTTGAAAATTATTGAAATCGGACTAAAATTGAGGCCGCTTTTCATATAACGGTAAATTTCAGAAATGCTTGAAACTTCAATATTTCGAAATTTAAGGACGCTAATTTACTCAAAATTGATACACCCCGGCTTACCAAGTAGCTTTCGGAAAGGTGAAAGTCATATATTTAATACTTGTGCCGGGTACTTAATGTTCGGCTCCACCCGAACTTAGACTTTCTTACTTGTTTTTACTATATTGGAAACCCCCCTTTACGAGGTGCTACTGGATAAGAATTAACGGGATTTTAAAACTGTTTTGTTATACATTATTTCGGTTTATTTCTTCAATTCGCCATTGAAAGCTTTCCGGTCGTGTTTTTCCATGCGCTATTGTATTCCATCAAGTGATAAAGTTACTGTAAAATGAGCAAAATTCAAGCACGTCATTTTCATTTATTAAATATTCATGTATATATTGTATATTTAAGTGTTCTTTATACAGATTTCGAAGTTCCCTCCACAAGCCGTGGAGTTGTTAGTGCAACTGCTGCTGCTAACATTGCAGGTTATTTGCTTCACCACACAGAAAGAGAATCCTACATTGTGAGGGTTATAATCCTTAAGCGCGGCCGGAGGCCGCCTTCACAGAGAGGAGTTCTGCTCAAAAATATTTCCTTCGCAACACAGAAAGAGAATTCTACTTTGTGAGGGTTATAATCCATAAGCGCGGCCGCAGGCCGCCTACGCAGAAAGAAGTTCTGCTTAAAAATACTTCTGCTTATTTTCTTCGCAATACAGAAGGAGAGTTCTACATTGTGAGGGTTATAATCTCTAAGCGCGGCCGAAGGCCGCCTGCGGAGAAAGAGTTCTGCGCCAAAAAATACTACGAGGTCAGAAGGTGTTTTATTGCTATTGAACACATACAGCCCAATTCTGAATATTCCCGAGGATTTCATTTCTCGTGGATTTTACTTTTCTCGAGAATAAAATCCTCTTATTCGAAAATTTGGGAGCAGGAAATTCGAACTTTCGAAGAGCTGTTTGACAGTTATTTTGACAATTATTTTGACAGCTCAACTCCCGCCATTTAATTTGCGTGTTTTACACATAAAAGTGTGTTTCCCATAAAAGAGTATTTCAGATTCAAGTTAAAGTTAAATTAGTGCGCGGAAATTTCAAATCTGTGTTTTAAATTAAAGCTCAATCTTTTAACTACACGGGTAAGATGAAAAATTTTAATTTAGATCGCGCGCTTTCTTGTAATAACCAGAAATAAGTGGGCAAATAGGATAAGACTACCCTTTGCTAAGTCCAGTTGCCACTGTGAATTTTGGAAGCCACATTATTAATAAACTAAAGCTCCAGAAATTTAAATATTAGTGCTCAATGAAAGTATAGTCTCTTAACTACACATGTGAGTTGCTATATTTTGATTTCAATCGCGCGTTTTCATGTAATAAACTAAAATAAGTGTGCAAATACCAAAGGGTACCCTTTGCTAGGTCCAGTTGCCGCTGTGAATTTTGGAAGCTGCATTATTAATAACCTCGTGCTCCGGAAATTTAAATGTTAGTGTTAAATTAAAATATAGACTTTTAACTACACATGTGAGTTGCAATATTTTGATTTCAATCGCGCGTTTTCATGTAATAAACTAAAATAAATGTGCAAACACCAAAGGGTACCCTTTGCTAGGTCCAGTTGCCGCTGTGAATTTTGGAAGCTGCATTATTAATAAACTGGTGCTCCGGAAATTTAAAAAGTAGTGCTTAATTAAAGTATAGTCTTTTTACTACACATTTGAGTTGAAATATTTTGATTTCAATCGCGCGTTTTCATGTAATAAACTAAAATAAGTGACAGCTCAACTCCCGCCATCTAATTTGCGTGTTTTAGGGCCGGTTGTTTAATGTCTGATTAGCAAAAATCGGAGGTAGAAGCTCCGGTTAGATACAACGACTGCTTTATCGATCACATGTTATATGCATGATGTCGAAATCGTCGATAATGATGTTTAACCGGCAAGTAGTGATAACCAGAAATTGAACAACCGGCCCTTACACATAAAAGTGTGTTTCACATAAATGAGTATTTCAGATTAAAGCTGCTAATAAATTAGTGCGCGGGAATTTCAAATCTGTGTTTTAAATTAAAAGCTCACGGGTAAATTGAAAGATTTTAATTTAGAGCGCGCGTTTTCTTGTAATAACCCGAAATAAGTGGGCAAATAGGATAAGAGTACCCTTTGCTAGGCCCAGTTGCCGCTGTGAATTTTGGAAGTCGCATTATGAAAAAACTAGTGCTCCGGAAATTTAGTGCTAAATTAAAGCTTAATCCTTTGTAGGACAACGGTCCGTTTTGGAAGTGCTCATCACAACTAAAACAATGCATTCCTTCGCGTTTCGCTTAGTGGCAGAGGAAGAGGAAGAACGGTTAATGGCGCAGAAGGTCGAACGACGAAAATTGCATGATGCCATAAATCCCTTCGAGTTGCCGCAATCTTTGTAAGTTACAAAAATTCGCCCAGTACTACAAAAATGTATCGCTAAGCGAGGAATCAATTAAGTTTTTGGAAAAACTAAAAAATTTCATTGATTGCTAGCTTATTGGTCCAAATGGATGAACAAGTCATTACCCCTTTATTGCTCGATTTTGGCATTACTCTATACATTTTTGAATAATTACATATGAATTTTCTCAATTAGATAGATTTGAAAAGTATTACCGACTTAACAAGCCGGGATTCCAATATTTGTTGGACGTATTGACAGCAAATACGGAGGCACCAAAGAAGGCTTTTGCGATATCTCTCCGCAAAATTGAGCGGGTGTTTAAGATTTTTGGCTGAAGGTGGGTACCAGACGGGTGTGGGTAAAGACTGCGACGTGTCGTTGGCGCAATCTAGTTTCAGCAAAGTATTGACGGAAGTGCTGACTGTTTTTGGGCGCCATTTGTGCCCGCAGTGGATAAAGGTGAGCGAAAGCGAGGAGGAAAACAGGAATATAGCCCGAGCCTTTTACATTAAACATGACATTCCGGGAGTTGTGGGGTGTATTGATGGCACCCACTAAGAATAATGGCTCCACCACAAAACGCGCACCTTTACTACAACCGTAAAGGGAACTACAGCCTAAACGTTATGTTTGTAAGTTACTCCTTGTTTCCGCATTTATCCGTATGGGAAATTTTTTAGATATCGACGGCTGAGTTGAAGCTCCACCTATCTCGGCAGCCGGTTCAAAAACGCCCTATCTCATAAAATGGCTCAAGAGCGCACTATATCAACATATTTTCAAATTCTGAGATAGGACGTTTTACAATCGATATCTGAAGTAAGGCGTTCTGGACCCATTCTCTGAGATTCAACTTCAACTCAAATATTTACTGATTTATCGAAGATTTTGTATTTCTCTAAATTACCGTTATATGGGATGTGGGCGTGGTTATTGTCAGATTTTTNATTTATCGAAGATTTTGTATTTCTCTAAATTACCGTTATATGGGATGTGGGCGTGGTTATTGACAGATTTTTTAAATTTTCGGCCATTTAGTATGCTTGGTACAGCCAACAACCGTGCCAAGTTTGGAAGAAATTGGTGCAGCGGTTACCAAGATATACACATGTAACCATAAGTGGGCGTGGCTACGCCCATTTTCCAAAAATTTATAANCAAAACCACGGGTAGTGGTCCAAACATCCAACAGAAAGTTGCTTGCAATGAGGAAGCTATATATAAACTGATTGGGATGAAGGAAAGTGTTGAAGGCATATCTGCGTCTACTTTTGGATTGCCACCTTCAAGTGTGTCTAAGAGCATTGCAGAACCTGAGCGAGACGAGTCTGACTTTATAGAATATTTAGAGGAAGTGGAAATAGAGATACATGAGTCTCAAATAAGTCCACTTGTTACAGTCGACGAGCCATCGCCTCCACCACCGCCAGTAAATGTAGCTCCACAAAGGAAACCTACTGGAAAGAAGCCGAAAGCATCCTCCGACGTTCGGGAAGCTGAACTAAAGATTCAGCAAGCCTTATAAGAACCAGTTACTGTAGCAGTAACGAGTTTAGCAGAACATCATGAAGGGTAGAAAAGTCACTTCTGAGCGAAATTAGTAATAATTAAAAGAAGTTATACATATATAGGTACATGCGTTTAAAAAACTAGAAAATTATATAAAAATAATAATTAAACTAAATACTTTACATTTTCATCTTCAGTAAGTGCTCCATGATGTCATTGTGCCGCCGCATTTGAGCAATTTCTTCATTTTTGAGCCGCTGCATTTCATCTATTTCTTCTCTTTTAAGCCTCTCAATTTCTCGGAAGTGCCTTTTCTGCTCTTCGTGATGTTCGGTTAAACTCGTAACTGCTCCAGTAACTGTTTCTAGTAAGGCTTGCTGAGTCTTTAGTTCAGCTTCCAGAAGGTCGGAGGATGCTTTCGGCTTCGTTACAGTAGGTCTCTTTTCTGGAGCTACATTTACTGGCGGTGATGGAGGCGATGGCTTGTCGACTGTAACAAGTGGACTTTTTTGAGACTCATGTATCTCTATTTCCACTTCCTTTAAATATTCTGTAAGGTCAGACTCGTCTCGCTCAGGTTCTGCAATGCTCTTGGACACACTTGAAATTGGCAATCCAAACGTTGACGCAGATATGCCTTCAACACTTTCCTTCATCCCAATCAGTTTATATATGACTTCCTCATTGGAAGAAAGCTTCTGTTGGGTGTTTGGGCCACCACCCGTGCCTTTGCTGGCTTTTAAATTTTGCGCCGCCTTTTGACGCACATATTTCTTTTGGTCGGTCCACACCTATAAAAAGTAAATAAAACGATAACTTAAAGCAAAAGTACACATTTAATCACTTTTACAAACCTTTTTCCACTCAGTCGTATTTTTTGTGGGTGGGCCTGCGGAGTTTAGTTCCACCTCAGCGTTCCGCCAAAAACGGGAAACTTCCTGTTGCCCTTATAGAAGCCGCGAGCTTCCATTAGGGTCATTAGGATTTCTACCTGTTTCTTATTTGTTGTTTTGGACCTAAAATGAAAGGTTTAAACGTTTTATTACACCAAAATTTCCTTTAAATTGTAATTAACTTATATTTTTGTAGCAGTTCCCTTTTAAAATACCGGTGAAAATTCTCCCAGAATAACGAAATCAATTCTCTCCTTCTTGACATTCGTAATACCTACTTTTTTCCCTGAAATACATTTTCCCTTTTTCGAGATCGTTTAGAATAGAAGAATAGGGGGAAAATCCTCAGGGAATTTTTATCCATGATAGAGGAAAGAGAAATGAGGAAAAATTCCTAGGGAGTTTCTATTCAGAATCGGGCTGTATGTGGTAGCTAAATCTAGCCACCAAAGCTCTAAAACGGCAACACTGGTTGTATGCATGAGTAATTTTTCACTTTGGCGGCATTTGGCGGCAATTGGCGGCGTGCGTAAATATTAGGTAATGCTAGGTTCACATATATGTAGATTATCCTCATTTTCGAGCTTAACTCCCTAATGTGTAATTAGAAAAAGAGATTAACCATACAAAATTCGTCCCTTGTTAATCTGTAATTATAAAATAATTTCAGATTTAAGCGACAATTTTTCGGTGTCCAACCTGCTTCTGTCGATTATTTTTGCGAAGAAGAGGAGAAATGCCGGGTAGTGTTTAGTAAGTGGCCCACCTATTTCGGGGTATTGCGTCCAAAGGGGTGACCCGATCCAGATTAAAGTATTTCAGATTAAAGTTGTTAATAAATTAGTGCGCGGAAATTTCAAATCTGTGTTTTAAATTAAAGCTCACGGGTAAATTGAAAGATTTTAATTTAGAGCGCGCGTTTTCTTGTAATAACCCGAAATAAGTGGGCAATTAGGATAAGAGTACCCTTTGCTAGGCCCAGTTGCCGC